GTTGATTTTGCTGTTATCACCGAAGATAAATTCCTTGTGTATGTTTTATACTTGGCCATTAAAGTATTGGTATTGGTAAAAGGGGATGAAACATTTCTTAAGTCCAGAACGACCAGATAACATTTGGAAGCTCAGTCAGATGCCTCCTTGATTCAGTAAGGTATAAGAGGGTGGGTGGGTAGAGGTATAGCACCATCAGATTTGCAAGATTCTGTTGTTATTCCCAAACTCAATACAAGTAATTTTAGCTTTTTGGTGGTGTTGGTTTCCTGGTGTGGTCCACCTGTTGGGGCTGACCCTGGGAGAGGAACCTGGCATAAAAGGACACATTTCACTTTCTCCATCATGCATGTGCTTGACCATTATGCACGCCCTTTCCCATGTTTTTAGTTAAATCACTGGCTTATCTTGTCACAACCCTACCTGTGAACCATTTGGACCTTTGGAATGGAGTAACGGCTCTCTTTCAGGTCTACCACGCGTTTTATAAACCCTTGGAATTCGTTGTGGCAGAAAGAGACGCTGCTCAGTGCTATATAAAAGTAAGTTGGCATTTGTAAAGTTTACTTTGGTTCAAGGGGCTTATGATCTCTATCAGACCCCTCCCCCCTCGGGCCGTACAAGAGTTTTTAAAAAAACACCTTTTCCCTGTCTTTTTTCCAAAAGCAATACTCAGTTTTCTTTTCAATAAACGTCAACCTCGCTGACGGGATCCCTTTTCCGCCCTTGATTTCATTCCGGGTCTCTTATTTTAAAAACGATGGCGGGATAGTAACGTTGGGAGTTTCCTTGAGGCCCCCAAACCTAACCCAACTGTGGTTGGTTCATCTTGGTCTCTCTCTCTCTCATCCTGGCTAGTTGGCCTCTGCCTAGTCTGTCTGAATTCTTTGCAGATGGTGTGTCTGCGCGAGAAAGATCAGCGGATCCTTGGTCTTCATTTCACTGGACCGAGCGCTGGCGAAGTCATTCAAGGTTTTGCTCTTGGACTCAAGTAGGTGTAAAGTATGCCCACCCCCCACCCCCACCTGCCTTGTTGCCTAAAGCTGCTGTTTCAAGTCACTGCAAGATAATAAAAAGATAGCATTTGCAATTTTGGCCAGACTAAATAATACCCAATGTTTGGGGTTTCTTTTATGTCTCATTTCCTCTATTTTGATAAAAAACATTAAAAAAATGGGCATCCTTTATTAATAAAAGTAGAGCTTAGAAACGGACATATCAACTTTTTGTGTTTCTGTTTACGAAATAGGTTTCTTGGCCAAAGCTGCGTTTTTGATCTGCCCCCCTCTCCACACCTCCTTCTGCAAAAACGTTTTTAAAAAATGAGCTTTGCAATCCAGCTGCTGACTCTTCAAAGTGTAACCAAGGGGAAAAGCGTTTCCTGTTTTGTTTTTGTTTTCCCCCCCCTATTCTTAGGATAATAAATGATTGTTCAGAAGCTTTTCTTTAAAAGAGAGAGGACTAAAAGCTTGCTTTGATTACACTTCTCTTTTGACACGAAGAGAATCATCAAAGCTTTGGAGGGAAACTTCAGGTTTTTGCTTCTCTTGAAATCTTTACCTATTATTTTATGGCCCATGGTCTCCCAGCCCCATCCAAAAGACATGATAACGTTACTTGAAAATTTCAGATCAGATGTAATTCCTTCTTCGACTGAAAGAACAAGGGGAACCCCAAAAGAAACAACTCATAGAGAGTTCAGGAACTAAGATTCTGGTTTTTTAACCTTAAGGTTATTGATATATAGAACTTACTGCCTCAAGACTGCATCGATCAACAAGAGATGGCTCTGAAAATGAAGCGGGGGGGGAGTCTTAGAAACAATCTGTCAGTTTACATGGCAGGGAAGGGTATCTCATTTTACATCCACCTTCTGGATGTGTATATTTCAACTCCCAGAATTCTTAGCAAGGGCCATGCTGGCTGGGGAATTCTGGGAGTTGAAGTTCACACATCTGGAGGGGTATCGAGGCTGGAGAAAGTTGTTTTCCATCCTGGCTTTGAGTGTCTTGGAAGTTTCTTGCTCTTCAGAACAGGATCATCTGCTAGCCCAGGCTTATCTAACCAAGTGTCCTACAAGACTTCAACATCTAGAATCCCTTTTGGCCAACTGGTCTGGAGATTGAACATATCTGGAAAGCGATCAGTAGAGGACCTTCTTGGACATCAGGAAGAACAAATTACTCAATACTAGATGGAGTAAAACTAGACTGCCCACCAGAAGTGCAAATAATAATGCTAAATCTTAAATATTTAGAACATCTAATGCAAAAACAAGAATCTTTGGGGAAGGCTGTGATGCTTGGAAAAATTGAAGGCAGTAGAGAGAGAGGGCTGGCAGAAGCAAGATGGCACAATACTGCCTCTGACATCCCATGAGCTTAAGAGAAGAAGCAGTCGTGATTCTGGCAAAAGGATGTCCATCCAGCCATGAAGAGTCAAAAGCAACTGGACAAGTTGAAGAAGATTTGGCTGTATTGGATCCTTGTTTAGATTAAGAATCCACCATTGGGAATCCCAGGGAAATGTCGCAGCATGTTCTTGATTCCTTCTCTTTGTTCACCCAGAAGTCAGTTACCCTTTCATAGCTACTCCTGCAAAGTCCATTTGGGATGGTCTTCGGCTTTATAAAAGGCCTGGCCTAATATGGATGTGGGTTTTTTAATCTAGCCAACTTTATTTTTGCGTGCTGTGTGTGTGTGTGTGTGTGTGTTCTGTGCCTTCCTTGTTCGTGCCAATGCTGACCTCTAGTGTTCAGACACAGTAAGTCTTAAGAAATGAAAATAGACGATTGATGGAGATCATGACTTTCCTTTTCTTCCTGAAATCTCACCAAATGGAAAACAGACCCTGTTAAAGATGGCATATGCCTGTATAGGGAAGTGCTTCAGGAATCATGGAATAATGTGTTTTCCAGTCCATTAATTGTTAATGGCGCAATTTCTGGCCAATTTAGGGGAAGAAAAGTAACTTTGAAGAAGTGGATCTTTGCTCCAACTGCAAAGGAGGCATGATGGAATCTCATCAGCCTTGCCTAGCCTTGGAGAACTGAAAATGCTGTGGTTGAAACACCACCACCATAAAGGTCAAAAGATGTTGTTCTTCTTGGGCCTTGTGAACCTGATCCATGCAGAGTATCTCAATAAGTTGAGATTCCTTATTACAACTGGATTTTTATAAATGGTTGTAGGTATGCCATGAATCTGGTTGAGAGCTCTATCCCTCTGTGGCTCCAAAGAGTTTTTCCCTCACTTTCCTGTTATTTTTTTTATCTTCACAACAGCTCTGTGAGAAAGATTGGGACATAATGATTAGCTCAGGGCCTCCCGGCAAGCCTCATGGATGAGTCTGGACTTGAATGGTCTTCCCAGTCTCCTTATCTAATGCTCTGCAGACCTTTCCCTACAACAGATCTTTTGGAACTGTTCCCCTGTCTCCCAATTCTCAACCAATTTGGTCAACCCTGGAATGTGGTGGGCTTTCCGACTAAATGAACCAAGTTAATTCTGGAGAAAGTGACTGAGATTGGAGCAGACTCCACCAGATACAGCATAGAGATTCCTTTTTTCATTTTCTTCTCTTTTGCTCTCCCCTTTCTTCTGCAGATGTGGTGCTACTTACTCTCAAATGATGAAGACGGTTGGGATTCACCCAACATGCGCTGAGGAAGTCACTAAGCTGCACATCACCAAGAGGTCGGGCTTGGATCCGACCGTCACGGGCTGTTGAGGTTAAATGCCATCCCTGGTTAACCAAGGAAAGTGTGCTGGGCAGAAGTTCCTGGAAGAGAAGGCAGGAGCAGATCAATATCTACAGGTCCATTGTTTTGACCCTTTCATTGGTCTCTTTACCATGTCTTTCACCAACCCCAAAATGGGATAATCCAGTAATCGTGTGTGTTGTATTGCAAGAACACTGTCAGTGGGAATTTGACATGACTGACTAAGAAGAGAGATGGAAGCTGTGGAGAACAGAATGGAGTGTTGGGGAGAAGGGCCCAGACAACCAGCTACCTGGTTGGGCCCCTAAATCTCCCATGTTTTTGTTCCCGGTGGCAGGAACAAATAGGTGTGGCCTCCTATTTTTCCAATTGTAGAAAAGATTTTTTTCCCATGAACTGCTTCTTATATTTCCATCTCAGCCAGAAGGTGGAGATGCTGACTAAGATGTTAGGCAGGGGGTTAAGTGTTACCAAATGATAATGAAATGGGCAGCATTGCAAGGAAAACGCCAATAAAAATGCCATCCATGGTGACCTTTATTGTTAGCAATGGGATAAGGATGACCCTGCCTTAGTGTTTATTTTCAGTAAGATGAAAAGGTTATCTGAAGATCCATTTTTGCTCACCCCAAGTGTGTGGGATCCTTATATCCGAGACAAGCACTTGAGGAATGCTGTGGGTCTGTGCACACACTGTACCCCATGGAGAAACCATAAATATAAGTCATTGTCCTTTCCAGAGAACTAACTCTGAGAATCTCCTACTGCAAAAACATCTTAGAAACTTGTGTTGTTGTAATGAAAAATATGTTCATCTTAGTACAAGTTTGGGTCCACCGTAGTTCCCTTCATCCAATACTGCATGGCCCTGCTAGCTGAGATCAGGGCATGGAGGAGGGTTGTCACTAGTTTGGGGAAGAGGACTCTGATATCTTGTTCCGTTTGGCACAATTCCCTCTCTGACTTCGCTTCCTCAACTGGATTTCAGAACAGCAGGACAGGGGAAGAGTTCAACAAGAAAACGACAGGTTTGAATCTCAAAGCAAGGAAGGGTGAAGGGGTGGAGAGTAAGGGGAAGATTGAGAAAGGAGTGGTTGGATGGAGTTGAGATTCTCAGAAAGAGGAAGGAGAGGGACGTAACAAGGAAAGGGCAACGTATGAAGAGGATGAATGTAGTGGAAGCAAAGTATGGAGAGGTCTAATGAAGGGTGTTGGTGTCAACCAGATCTAGTTGGGTCTCCTTTCCTTTTGCATCCTGTCTTTAACTTCATTTGCACAATGCTAGTTCCTTTTTGGGTGTGCACTGCCTAATGTTGCTTTGCCCCAAAGACAGCAGCATGATGGATCTGTGTGTATCTTTGTGTATGCATGTGGGTAAGAACTTGATCTTCCTTGCCACTTGCTGCTTGGGAACAAGAGAGAAGATGGCTTCTGCAGGAGGCAAAAGGAGGCCCCAGGATTCCAAGGAGTTCCCACCCACCCTGGCATTGGCCCCACCCACTGCTTGCTGCAGCCCCACCCCTTCTTTGGCCTCCAATAGCCAAAAAAAAACCCCCTTCTGATGAAAGAGTCTGAGCGGTGTGGATGAATTGATTTTTTTCTCCCATTGTTGAGTTTTTGGCCTCTTTGGAAAACCGTCCCCAATTAACGTGGCGGCTGTGAAATGAATCTACATTCCCTCTACCTAAGTCTCCCATTGAAATCAATATCCTCATACCGCAAATATTTATCTCTGTTGTTTTAGACTCACGAGACCGACTCCTGTGAAGCAAGACCGATCCTATTTCTGGAAATTCCAGCCCTCCTATTTATTTCGTCTTATGCATAAATCTAGACTGAAGTTCATGTACTGGAACTGGTACCAAAGCAGGAATAGATGCAAACCAAAGAAATCTGTTCCTTTTCCAAGAAGTTCTGCCTTGCGCCCCCCAGGGATGGCTTATTTGCCACAACATCAAGCAGCCTCACATCGATGCCAACAGTCCAACCAACACCGCAGAAGATTTCTTGGGTGCGCAGATATCTGTGCATTTGAGGAATGCGCTCAGAATCATGGGACGCCAGCTAATGATGGCTTGTGTATAAAACCACTCACTGGGGTAGACAGGTCTGATGCTTGCTGGTTTCTTATTGAGCCCAAGGAATTCTGTTATATTTAGGGTAGGCAATTTGACAGAAAAATAAAAAAAAACCTTTCCCCCGAATTTGTAGAGGCTGTGGTTCATTTGTGATAGCTTTCCCCCCTCAAAAAGTCAAAAATAGACTGCCATTTTCTAATCTACTGATTCCAGTTTTTTTCCTCCTCTCTCTACCACACTTCCTTGATTTTCCCAATACTGCAAGGCAGCAAGAAATCAAACCATGGTTATGGGAATTGGTCCTTTCCAGTCTGCTCCTATCAGTAGGACGTGTCTCCAAATTTTGAGCAGAAACTTGCAGCTCTCTTTCCAGGGGTTTAGAACTTTTGCTAAAGTTTTGGGCTAAAGCTAAAATTTGGGGCTCGGTTCCTGTCCTGAAAGTCCCCCCAAGAAATGCAGTATCACAACGATGTGAACTTTTTGACGGACTGAGGGGTCTGTAAGGAAGAGAAGGAAAAACCAAAGTTTAGGCATGGCCACCCTGACTCAAACCCATTTAATGAGAATTAATACTTCCACTTACAAGGCCTGTGTGTTGGTTAGGGTTTCCTGGAACAGATTTGCCAAGAAGAGAATTTTTTTAAAGCAGCAGCTGTCGAAAAGGATTAAAAATGGTTTACGCTGTCAGACAGTGCTCCAGTTTTTCCGTTCCAAACCCGGTTCAAATTGGATGGTCAGTGTTAATTTGAAAAGCCCTTCCTTCTCAAAACATGTGGGCTTTAGCTTAACATTGGTTCCCCAACCCCTTCGCCGTTTTGGTTTCCGGGGTTGATTTATCCCCACTTGTAAATCTTATTAACCACATTGTATTTTTAAGGATGGATTTCCAAGCCTGAATGGGATAGGAATCCTTCTGCACCTCTCCAAGGATTGCTCACATACCTTCTTTGGCCACACCCGAAAATTGGATGCAGGCAGGTAGATGAAGCGGTCACACTCTTTTGAGCAGAGACCTGCACCCTCGTTCCCCCCACCCCCTAAAAAAAGGTGCAAGAGCGGGCGAGATGGTTGGCAACTGAATCCGCCCCACTTAGCTTTAATTGAAGGAGCTTGTCATCTTTGAAATGCAACACTTTCTCTCCCAAGCTTGAGTTGTACCCCCCCAAAAAACTTTTCCTGCCTTTGATCTTCCTTTCAAAACTCCGCGCTCGGGTTCTTTGCTTCACGGGTAGACTTGCCAGGTGTCAAGACTGAACCGAGTTTCTCGTCAAGCGTGACAACGTGGGCGATACGGAGAGAGTGCCTCGAATCCGTCAACAAAGTGACTTCGAGAAGCTGAAAGGACACCATGTCAATTACCTTGACCAAGATTCTTCTGGTCTACCTGCAGCTTTCCTGCCTAAAAATCTGCTGTGTTTCTTCTGTCATTGCTCAAATGATGCTGTGACAACCGGGGGATCCTGTGATGTTGGACAAGCTGTCAGTCTCCTTTGATTATGGATGGCAGATGGAGATTCACTTTCCACGCTCTTGTGAATTAAAATAATACGCTTCTGATTGGACACATGAGAATCAAGGCCTGAGGCCTTTTTTAAAATCGTCTTATGGACCAGGTAAGTATTGATGCTGACCAGTCTAGCAGATGAGTACAGCCAAGCTCTGACCCAAGGGGAGAGCAGCAGAATTTGTAGCTGTACTTCTCCTGTCCTCCTGTGGTTGTCAGGTTGTTTGCAGCCCAGATTTGGTAGCCCTACCTGAGGTTGGATAACTAACCTGGATGTCTTCCAGATATATGGACTTCAAGTCCCAGAATTCCCCAGCCAGCATGGCCGCCACTGAGAATTCTTGGAGTTGAAGGGTACTTTCTAGAACAGTGTTTTTCAACCCTGGCAACTCTAAGATGTGTGGACTTCAACTCCCAGAATTCCCTGGGAGTTGAAGTCCACACATCTTAGAGTTGCCAAGGTTGAGAAACACTGCTCTAGAAGTAGGGAGTTAGCTCCCAGGATTCCCCATTGCTGAGAGTTCTGGGCACTAAGGGCACACATCTGGAAGGCATCCAGTTGTGGGCAAGGCTGAACTACACTTTTGGTTTCCAATTCAGTATATTTACTGAATACAGAGAAGTACCCATGATCAGCCGCATCTAAAAATAAAAGATATATTTGTCTAACTCCAACGTATCAGAAAGTTTTCAATCTGTTTTTGGGGAGGAAACAGCAGTATTCAGGGAGGGGGTCAAGGGAGCGAATGAGAAAGCAACGTCCCATGACACAAGCTCCACCCTTTTTGTAGGTGTGTTGTGATGGCTGGGAATAATGGGAGCTGAGGTCCAATGCTCCTGGAGGGTAGCTGGCCTGGATGCTTCTGAGTTTATGACTTGGTGCAACATGGATACGGCTCTTTTATCCGTTGTTATGGTCTTTCTTTGCCCACCACTATCCTGAGGTTTTCAGCAGTCCACAACGAGAAATCCAGAAGAGAAGAACATTTGGAGGCACTGTTTGGAAAACACCCCCACCCCGCACACACCCCTCAGGTTGACAACCAGGACTGCAGAAGTTGATGTAATTACTTGATCAAGCCTGAAAATCTGTCTGCCAGATGTCACAGAGTTAATTGTCGCTCTATTGTACCCGTCTAAGTCAATATTGTCAGCTATTATTCCCCTTAATCCTCTAACATCATGGTTTAATGATAGGCCGCGGAAGATGTCCCCTTCAGCGCCTCTTTGCGGCTCATGTTCACCCGCTCGCTGCAGGCAACGAGCACACTAGGAAGGGCTTGGTATGGTCAAGGCGTTAGATAGCTAGCTGAACTACTTTTATTCTCATGCACACCTAAAGAAGACATGGTCTCAGCCAGCCGCCGCTGCTGGAGCAACGTGGTTAGGACCTTGCAAGTTGAGGAAGAAAGGTGAATGAGCTCATCTTCTGATCGGTCTGACATGTCACCTCAAAGAGCTTGCTTGCTGCATTGAGGTAATGGAGTGAGAGTTTCTTGGCTATCAGTCCTATGGGGACATGTTCAGCCTCTTTTGGGGGAGAAGGGATGAAAGCCTGCTTATTTTGGCTTCCTTCAGGAGTCGCAGGATTAAGCTTGAAGGCCACTTAATCTGGCACCTGCATAGCTTTGTTGGTCAGTAATGGCATCTCAGGGCATCATAGACTTACGATCATCTAGTCAACCTCAACAAGATGAAGATGTGTGGCCTTCCCCTCCCAGAATTCCCCAGCCAGCATGCTGGCTGGAGAATTCTGGGAGGGGAAGTCCACACATCTTAAAGTTGCTGAGTTTGAAGAGCACTGATCTAGTCCAACCCTCTGCAATGTGCTGAAAAACCATTTAAGCTATCCATGTCCAACGGTCTCTTAAAAACCTTCCAAGTTGGAGAATCCACAACCTCCATAGATAGTCTGTTCCACTGTGGGGCAGACCTTCCCCTAAGGAATCTTTTCTTTATATTTAAACAAAAGCTAGGTAGCTCCAACTTATATACATTATTTCTGAGGGTAGTGGAAGAATTCCTGGCCATTTGCAGCTTCATAGGGACTAGAAACATTTGACCCAACTCAACAGGACTTTTCTTCTTTCCTTACTGTAAAGCTGAGATGCTGAATGTGTTGGCATTTCTGCCTTCTTTAAACCATTTTTTTCTCACTAAGGCCCTCTCTTCCCTCCCACCTCTTCCATTCATTCCTTCTCAGTCAAAATCCCTGGGGGTGTTTTGGAAAAGCAAAATAATACTTTTTTTTTTTTTTTTACCCAATCCTGCAGGCGTTGCCAGCCCAGCTTCCGATAGGCAAGATCCGGCATAGCTGAGTATCTACAGCTTCCAACGTGGAAAATTCAACCTCATTCCGATGAAGCTGCTGGGGCCCTGGTGCGAGGAGGACATTTTCAGAAGTTGATTGCATCAGTCAGAAAGTGAGGAGTGTGAGGAGAAAAAAAATTAGATCTTCCCTGGGGGGGCGGGGGAGAGAGGAGACCGTTCTTGTTCAAACAGGGCGCTCTGCATTGTTCACGGCAGAAATGCAGTGAAATTGGGGTTTGCCAGCTTCCTGAAGGAGAATTTGTTCCAAGGAGCAGGTATCTCATCGGTTTTTGGATAAGTGGGCCTAGGTAACCCAATATATACACATCGGTAGGTAAGGGCAGACTGTATTTACTACACACAGACACACAGAGCACCATTTTTCCATTCCAGGGGAAACAAACATGCAAAGAGGAAATGCTTGGGTTCTGCTTTTATTTTAGGATTAAGGTACCTTGGACTGCAGCACGGAGCAAGAGTGGAATACATGGAGCTTGAGGGGGTGAAGTACAGATCCTGGAGAGAGAAAGATGGAGGGAACCCAGAGAAGGAGAAGAAGGAGGAGAGGGAGGTCCTGGGACGGAAGAGATGGAGAGTGAAGGACAAAGAAGACAAATGGAGAGAAAGCACATGTAGCAACATTGGAGTCCTGCTTATTTTTGCTTGAAAGAAAAAGAGAACATGAGTTCCACCAAGCAGGTGGCCAGAAGAAAGAAACTCTTAAGGTTTCACTGTGCCTGCAGAAGAGATGGATTTGCAGTGGGCTATCTCTGCACCCCACTGGCCTTAAGCTGGGAAAGTCCCTGTGTTCCCAGCTGAAAACCTGAAGAGAGGAATTGGCTCTACAACTTCCAAGCAGATCTTCTGCGCCACCCCCAATCCAGACTCAGCTGGCTCTCCAAAAGCTACCCGCTTCTTGAAACCCTCCCTGATTTCCCATTTTTACTTAAGCAAGACTTTGCCAGCTGGAGGACAACCATCCCACGTTAACTTTGCAACCAGCAATTTCCAGTGCGGCTTTCTAAGGTTTTTCCTACAAAGGAGAAAGGAAATGTTGTGTGTGCCTGTGTGGGTTTTCAAGCTCCATGCTTAAAAGGCAAGCCGAAGAACCGCAGCTGAAAAGATCAGGAAACCCTTTATGAAGGCCTTTTCCTGATAGGACTTCATAATTATCCTCCTGTGCTGTTGGCAGGCGAGGGCTTCAAAATAATCCGAAAAAGATGGGGTCTTAAACTCAGGGGTTTGGAAATCTCACCCTTTTTTATCCTTCCTATCACGGTTAGGTTTGGGGAGGGATGAAATTAATGAGGCAAGGAAGTGGCATTAGAGAG